AGCAGGGAGAGACTAGCCTGAGCAGCAGCCAATCAGTCACAGGATCCCAGGCCTTAGTTTTGAAGCCTCTTAGGCCACTTTGCTTGAACAGTCACCCAACCAGCAGTCTGGCCTCTCATGAGGTCATTTCGTGAGGGCCAGTCCGCCGGGTTAGCGTCTGTTGACACCCGATCGATGAAAATTCTACAATGTAAATCTAGAGCAAGATCCCAAAAGAGCGAGATTAACTCGCAGACGTCAGACTTACTCGAATACCCTTTCACCAGAGCTGCCTCCACGACTTCCGAATCTATGAGAAGTATCGCGTCCGCTTTTTCAAGCGATCGCGAAAAGAGCACAAAGCCAAAATTGGGGCTAACATCTCAATCGGAATGATTTGAGTCGCCCGGTGGAGCCACTTCGAGCTGACACTTGTAGGGATCGCTTCAGAGAACTGCAGAGGGTGATCTAGGCGCCTATCAAACAAAACTGCCCCCACTCGATCGAGCTCTGTTTGTTGTGCTCTGATCCGGGGGTCAGGTGTGAATCCGTCAGTGAACACCACTACATCCGCCTTCTTTGAGACCTGCATGTCAATGGTCCTTGGCGGACCTTCCTTGATCAAGTGTAACCATTGTTTGAGAGCAACCCTTAAAGGCTCATCGAGCGAAAAGGACGGACCGGAGGGGAACCTGGAGTATTGTCGTTCCGAAATCACCCTTAAAAAGGCCCGTCCCACTTTGCCCCAGAGCTGTGATGCTCCAAACATGAGTTTACCTTTCAACTTACCGGCTGTGCCCGGGTCTAGCTGATCACTTTCCAGGATCGAGCCGATCTCTTCCGTCAGGTCTCTCTTGCGATCGTCTTTGATCTCGAGCTGCATGCGCTCCAGATTGTAAGTCACACCAAGGATGGTGGGAGCCACCGACAGCTGGAGCTTTTTCTGGTCAAACTTCGCCCCGAGCCAGTGATGGATGCATTCAGCCGTGAGTCGAGCGCTCTTGACAGTTTCGACCGGTTCAAACCCGTATTTATCATCATAGAAACTAAAGGCCACCAGATTGAACAATTTACACAAAATTTCGTTAATGGCGGCAGACCTCCTGTTATAGTTGTAAACCGCCGAAACGAGTCCAAACGAGCGGCCTATCATGATGAAAAACGCGGGTCTCCCTGAACAAGGGTCCTTTAGACAAATCACAGAAAACTTTCTCTGATCAGGCCGGACAGCGATCTGCCTGTAGGCTTTTCTCTCGTCCAGCACCCAGCCAGCCACGTCGCCGAGAGGCTTTGCAGATCTGATCATCCGAATTGCCGCGACATTGGAGTCCGTCGATGGCAGTTGAAGTTTCTCCGAGATCACTGTGATTTGATTGATCATGTTGGTTGTGGCGCTGTCGCACCCTCTTACTTTGTTCTTTTGGACGACTTCAAAACGTTGAGTTGGGATCCAATCCTCACAGTTCAGCTTGGTGGAGATCTCCTCCTCGGAAAACCAAGGGCCCATGCAGGAGCCTTCTGCACAATCTTCGAGCGTCGCATCCCAGATCTTCTGCAGATTCTCCGAAACAGGGACCATGGCTACTCTTTGAACAATCTTCTTTCGCAACTCCCAGGCCCTGTCCAAGGCATGTTGAACGGGTATGGCAGCTTGAGGCTTCGTATAGTCTGGCCATCGCTGAGAACGAGCGATCGGCCCGACAATGGAGAAACCGTGCAGCAGATCAGCATGCAGTTGTTGGTCAACTGATCCGCATGCATTGAGCAATGCCTCATACAAGGCCACGTGGCATACTTGACCCAGGAGTGCAGGCGGATCGTCTGGAGCACCTCGTAAGAGCCGACGAAGATCCGGATCCGGTTGTTGAGCGATGCGCTCGAGAGAGATGGGGAGCAATCGATGAGCCTCAGCTTCCCAAAAACTCAAAGCTTGTACCCGTCGAGCTTGAACTGTCTCCGGATAATGCGCTAAAGCTTGGATGGAGGCGATGACAACCTCATCGAGCTGGGCGGGCACCGTGAAGGGATGAACAACCTGCAGAGCCCACTGTATTGCCTGACCAATCTCCATCTCGAACTCAAGCAGCGGTTTGAGGGCACCTCGTTTGAGTTGGTACCCCGCCTGTAGAGCCCGAGCGGCAGTTTGTTCTTGCCGATGACCACTCCACAGTGCCGCGGTGCCCAGAGGTCTTTTACGATCGAGGGCAGTAAGCTCAAAAGAGGCGGCAAACTTGCTGAGTGACGCTGACCAAATCATCTGCACAGCCAATGCCATGGAGGCGCAAAGGTCGAACGGGTACTCTTGAGCAAGCTTGGTGCGAAACACCACCTTGTTGCGCTTGGGATCCCACACTTTGCCTTGCAAACGCTCGTGTATGTGAGATCCATCACAAGAGCATCCAACGATCGCAAGTGCCTCATGAGAAACACGCAGGCGTGTGGGCTTCATTGAAGGAGCTCCGAACATGCATTGATCAAAGTCCACATCCAAGGTGCGAGCATGCAGGCTCAGCGAGCGCATGACTGGGGTCACCCAAAGAAGGCTGAGCAGGGGGTTCTCGATCGAAAAGTCTCCTCCTGCCTGAAAGACAGCCAAGGCAAGCTCAGCCGTGCGGAGCAGAAAAAGGTTGCCCAACAGTGCAAGAGCTTGGTTGTCGGGTGAAAGACCATCCAGACCCATGGGCTTGTCTTGCGAGCGCAGGGGCCGAGGCCCCCCATCGAACTTGCGAGCTGCAGTGAAGGTGTTGCACGGAGTGCCAAAGTGAACGAAAAACAGTGCACCGATCAATGCAAGACACATGATGCGGTCCCAGAATGCCACGTCCAGCACGTCCTGAGGTAGTGGAACTTGTGGTGAACACTCAATGTCGACAGGTGGCAAGGTAGGCATTTGAAGAAGACGAACTTGCTCGGTGAGGCGAGCGCTGCCCGAGAAGATCTCCAGAAACCAAGGACCGTGTTGACGAACGAGCTGTGGGTCATCAGGCACATCTTTCCAGCTGTGCCAACATGGATAAGAGATCTCCTCACCACTCAAAGGGTCAGACAGTGGCTGTGCCAGACCCTCGTCACTAAGGTGAGAGTCCTTCCCCGACCATTGGCCCGGAGGCGGGGTCAAGCCCTCCGGACCGGGCCCAGCGAGCGCTCAGTGGTTGCCATGGTAGGGGTGGCCTTGGCCACACTCTACGCAGGCGTGCTTGTGCTTGCATTGATCACCAAAGCGACATCCACTTGAGCAGTTGTAGAATGGGCACCTCTTCGGGCCTGAGTACTTGAACGAGTTCACCTTAGTCCATTCTGCCGCCGGGATGCGAGCGTCCCGGGTGGGCTTGCCCTTGGGGCTGTCCGCTTTCTTCTCATGAGCGGTCTTGAGTGACTTGAGTTGCTGCTTGGCTCGTTCCCTGCGAGCTCTGTTCTTCCGAGCTTT